AACCCTAACCCCAATCTAAATCTTGTAATAAATAATGTAGAAATTGAGCAATTTGAGGATACTAAACTGCTTGGAGCAACCCTGGATTATAAACTGTCATGGTCAAAACCTATTGCTGCAACAGTAGCTAAAATGGGGGAGATCTGTCCATAATAAAGCACTGCTCTGTCTATCAACAAGGCAGGTCCTACAGGTCCTAGTTCTGTTGCACCTGTCATTTGGTCAGGTGCCACAAAGAGGGACTTGGGAAAATTACAATTGGCCCAGAACAGGGGAGCACGGCTGGCCCTTAAATGTACACGGAAAACTAACATTAATAACATGCATGTCAATCTCTCCTGGCTCCAAGTAGAGGAGTCTGACTTCATCAATACTTGTATTTGTGAGAAGTATTGACATGTTGAATGCACCGAGCTGTCTGTTTAAACTACTAGCACACAGCTCAGACACCCATGCATACCTCACATGACATACCACCAGATGTCTCTTCACAGTCCCGAAGACCAGAACAGACTATGGGAGGCGCATGACTACATCTAACTCTATTCCACATCAAGTAACTCATGCAAGCAGTAAAATCAGATTTAAAAAACAGATAAAAATACACCTTAAGGAACAGGGGGGAATGTGAAGTGACTCACACACACAGTGAAGAGACACACACATAGGCACAGACACACATACACACAAACATGATAACATATACACTATACACACACGTACACATGGATTTTGTGTTGTAGATATGTGGTAGTAGAGTAGTGGCCTGAGGGAACACACTTAATGTGTTGTGACATTTGTTGTGAAATGTATTGTAATTTTATAAAAAATTGTATATACTGTAACTGCCTTCATTTTGCTGGACCCCAGGAAGAGTAGCTGCTAATGGGGATCCATAATAAATACAAATACAAATACAAAATGTGTAGAATTGCAGCAAACTGCAACATTTTATCTACACCCCATGGCAAAATTAGTAGAATTTCAGGAAATTAACTCTAAAATGTCCTACATTTTTCTCTCCGCTTTCAAGGGGGCCACTAAAATGTTTTGCTCGCAAGGTGGGGGGCCCACCAACAAAATTTTGCTTAAGGTCCCCAAAAGGCTAGGGCCAGCTCTGACTGCTTGTGTGGGTATGGATGTGGGTATGCAGATCCTCCAGCCACTGCAGGCCCTCATGATGGGTTCAGATTTTTTTGTAGCTCCCACCCTCATCACGTTGTCCATTCCTGGTGTAAATGAATAATTTACATTTACATCATTTAGCAGACGCTCTTATCCAGAGCGACTTACAAATTGGTGCATTCAACTTATGATAGCAAGTGGGACAACCACTTTTTTTCTTCTTCTTTTTTTATGGGGGGGTGGGGGAGGGGGGGGTAGAAGGATTGCTTTATACTATTCCAGGTATTCCTTAAAGAGGTAGGGTTTCAAGTGTCTCCGGAAGGTGGTCAGTGACTCCGCTGTCCTGGCGTCGTGGGGGAGCTTGTTCCACCATTGGGGTGCCAGAGCAGCAAAAAGCTTTGACTGGGCTGAGCGGGAACTGTGCTTCTGTAGAGGTAGTGGAGCTAGCAGGCCAGAGGTGGATGAATGTAGTGCCCTCGTTTGGGTGTAGGGTCTGATCAGAACCTGAAGGTAAGGAGGTGCTGTTCCCCTCACAGCTCCGTAGGCAAGCACCATGGTCTTGTAGTAGATGCGAGCCTCAACTGTAAGCCAGTGGAGTGTGCGGAGGAGCGGGGTGACATGAGAGAACTTGGGAAGGTCGAACACCAGACGGGCTGCGGCGTTCTGGATAAGTTGTAGGGGTTTAATGGCACAGGCAGGGAGCCCAGCCAACAGCGATTTGCAGTAATCCAGACGGGAGATGACAAGTGCCTGGATTAGGACCTGTGCCGCTTTCTGTGTAAGGTAGGGTTGTACTCTGCGAATGTTGTAGAGCATGAACCTGCAGGATCGGGTCACCGCTTTGATGTTAGCAGAGAACGACAGGGTGTTGTCCAGGGTCACGCCAAGGCTCTTTGCACTCTGGGAGGAGGACACAATGGAGTTGTCAACCGTGATGACGAGATCATGGAGTGGGCAGTCCTTCCCAGGGAGGAAGAGCAGCTCCGTATTGCCGAGGTTCAGCTTGAGGTGGTGATCCGACATCCACACTGATATGTCTGCCAGACATGCAGAGATGCGATTCGCCACCTGGTTATCAGAAGGGGGAAAGGAGAAAATTAATTGTGTGTCATCTGCGTAGCAATGATAGGAGAGACCATGTGAGGATATGACAGAGCCAAGTGACTTGGTGTATAGAGAGAATAGGAGAGGGCCTAGAACTGAGCCCTGGGGGACACCAGTGGTGAGAGCACGTGGTGCGGAGACAGATTCTCGCCACGCCACCTGGTAGGAGCGACCTGTCAGGTAGGACGCAATCCAAGAGTGAGCAGCGCCGGAGATGCCCAACTCGGAGAGGGTGGAGAGGAGGATCTGATGGTTCACAGTATCAAAGGCAGCGGATAGGTCTAGAAGGATAAGAGCAGAGGAGAGAGAGTTAGCTTTAGCAGTGCGGAGAGCCTCCGTGACACAGAGAAGAGCAGTCTCAGTTGAATGACCAGTCTTGAAACCTGACTGGTTTGGATCAAGAAGATCATTCTGAGAGCGATAGCAGGAGAGTTGGCTAGAGACGGCACGCTCAAGAGTTTTGGAGAGAAAAGAAAGAAGGGATACTGGTCTGTAGTTGTTGACATCGGCGGGATCGAGTGTAGGTTTTTTGAGGAGGGGTGCAACTCTCGCTCTCTTGAAGACGGTCAATAATTAGTTGATGAGCGAGGTGAGGTAAGGGAGAAGGTCTCCGGAAATGGTCTGGAGAAGAGAGGAGGGGATAGGGTCAAGCAGGCAGGTTGTTGGGCGGCCGGCCGTCACAAGTCGCAAGATTTCATCTGGAGAGAGAGGGGAGAAAGAAGTCAAAGCATAGGGTAGGGCAGTGTGAGCAGGACCAGTGGTGTCATTTGACTTAATAAATGAGGATCGGATGTCGTCAACTTTCTGTTCAAAATGGTTGATGATGTCATCCACAGAGAGGGAGGAGGGAGGGGGAGGAGGAGGAGGATTCAGCAGGGAGGAGAAGGTGGCAAAGAGCTTCCTAGGATTAGAGGCAGAGGCTTGAAATTTAGAGTGGTAGAAAGTGGCTTTAGCAGCGGAAACAGAGGAAGAGAATGTAGAGAGGAGGGAGTGAAAAGATGACAGGTCCGCAGGGAGTCTAGTTTTCCTCCATTTCCGCTCGGCTGCCCGGAGCCCTCTTCTGTGAGCTCGCAATGAGTCGTCAAGCCACGGAGCAGGAGGGGAGGACCGAGCCGGCCAAGAGGATAGGGGACATAGAGAGTCAAAAGATGCAGAAAGGGAGGAGAGGAGGGTTGAGGAGGCAGAATCAGGAGATCGGAGGGAGAAGGATTGAGCAGAGGGAAGAGATGATAGGATGGAAGAGGAGAGAGTAGCGGGAGAGAGAGAGCGAAGGTTGCGACGGCACATTACCATCTTAAGAGGGGCAGAGTGAGTAGTGTTGGAGGAGAGCGAGAGAGAAAATGATACAAAGTAGTGGTTGGAGACTTGGAGGGGAGTTGCAGTGAGATTAGTAGAAGAACAGCATCTAGTAAAGATGAGGTCAAGCGTATTGCCTGCCTTGTGAGTAGGGGGGGACGGTGAGAGGGTGAGGTCAAAAGAGGAAAGGAGTGGAAAGAAGGAGGCAGAGAGAAATGAGTCAAAGGCAGACGTAGGGAGGTTAAAGTCACCCAGAACTGTGAGGGGTGAGCCATCCTCAGGAAAGGAACTTATCAAGGCGTCAAGCTCATTGATGAACTCTCCAAAGGAACCTGGAGGGCGATAAATGACAAGGATGTTAAGCTTGAATGGGCTAGTGACTGTGACAGCATGGAATTCAAATGAGGAGATAGACAGATAGGTCATGGGAAAAAGAGAGAATGTCCACTTTGGAGAGATGAGGATTCCTGTGCCACCGCCGCGCTGACCAGATGCTCTCGGCGTATGCGAGAACACATGGTTAGACAAGGAAAGAGCAGTAGGAGTAGCAGTGTTTTCTGTGGTAATCCATGTTTCCGTCAGCGCCAAGAAGTCGAGGGACTGGAGGGTAGCATAGGCTGAGATGAACTCTGCCTTGTTGGCCGCAGAACGGCAGTTCCAGAGGCTGCCAGAGCCCTGGAACTCCACGTGGGTCGTGCGCGCAGGGACCACCAGATTAGAGTGGCAACAGCCACGTGGTGTGAAGCGTTTGTATGGCCTGTGCAGAAAGGAGAGAACAGGGATAGACAGACACATAGTTGACAGGCTACAGAGAAAGGCTACAATAATGCAAAGGAGATCGGAATGAAATGAACTAAACATCTGGGAAAGCGAGAGAGCGGGGCCTCCCTCACTTACGTTTCACTGATAAAATAATAATAATCCTGGCAATGAAACTTTGAGAGAGAGGGGGAAGTATAAATGCTCTTATCAAGTACAGTAGTTTGATACTGTATGTTCTCCAGGTATATACTCTATGTTCATAATAGTTTAAGATACTTTATTGGTTGTATCAGACAACAATTATGCTACACTCGTTTATAATGTTGATTATGCACTATTTATAAATGGTCCTTTTGAGAATGTATATAAAATCTCTGAAGTAAGGTAGACCTATGATTTTTTTTTATGCATGCTTGAGTAATGAGTACCTTATCTGATAATGATTTATTTGTTGATCAGCACCTTGCTGGAGGGTTACATTATGTCTGGAAGAAGTGCAGTTGTTTTTGTGTGGGGCTGGTGATATAACGTTTCCAACATTAATGCATGTAATATAAGTCAACTGTATGAATATTTCTGTGAAATCATATGGCGTTTACAGTCAGGAAAGTCACTCTACTTTGGAAATTGTATGACAGGCTTTGGTCAAGGTGTGTCCTTTAGGCCGCCCACTCAATAAATAAACTACGGTGTTTGATTGGCTGTTTTGAACAATGACGTGAGTGCTAACTTTGACACCTCATTAACAAGTATCAGATAACTTCGTTTAGTTGCGGAGAAGTCTTCACATTTACTCCCTCGTCTGTGTATTTCAACGCCTTAACGCAAAGTAATTATGTTTAAAGATTTTACACCTTTCATTGATACCTTATGTAATGTAATATATTGCTAATTTCTAACAAGAACAGGAGACGTTTCGCTTTCAAATAAAAAGTTAGCTACACAGACCTTGGTAACTAACGTTAGCTAGCTACTAACGTTAGCATGCTAGCTAACTCTTTAGCTGGTGTTACATAACATCTAATAGCACTAATGAAAAACAAATGGCTAATGTTAGCTACATACACTATTGAACCACACAGTTTAAAGCAGGTTACTGTAGCTAGTTGACTTAGATGATGGCTTGGCTCCTGTGTGGATTCAACTTTGGAACTAACGTGTGTGTGTGTAAAATACACTTCTTATTTTCTCTTTCGGTACAACTATAGGTGTTGTAAGAGTGATTGCACCACTGAGACTGATACCATGTCTGATTTGGTGGACAATAGTGCAGGTTACCAAGGGGATCATGTGGATGCCAAAGGGATAGCTGGACAAGGGTAAGGCGATGCATTTCTTATGTCAACCCTATCAGCTGCCCAAATAATAGAGGGTGGGCATCAAAATCAAATGTACAGTGCCTTCAGAAAGTATTAATACCCCTTGACTTATTCCACATTTTGTTGTATTACAGCCCGAATTCAAAATGTATTATTTTTTCTCACACATCTACACACTACCCCATAATGACAAAGTGAACTTCTTTTTAGAAATGTTAGCATATTTACAGAAAAATTAAATACAGAAATATCTCATTTACATATGTATTCACACCCCTGAGTCAGTCTTTCTGGCTACGTCTTAAGAACGTTCCACACCTGAATTGTGCAACATTTGCCCATTATTATTTTCAAAATTCTTCAAGATCTGTCAAATTAGTTGATGATCATTGTTAGACAACCATTTGCAGGTCTTGCCATAGATTTTCAAGCAGATTTAAGTCAACTGCAACTGGGCCACTCAGGAACATTCACTGTCTTCTTGGTAAGCAACTCCAGTGTAGATTTGGTGTCTGGTGGAAAGGTGACTGAACCAGGTTTTCCTCTATGATTTTGCCTGTGCTTAGCTCCATTCCGTTTATTTTTTATCATGAAAAACTCCCCAGTCCTTAACGTTACAAGCATGCTGTTAACATGATGCAGCCACCACTATGATTGACGATTTGGAGAGTGGTACTCAGGAATGTGTTGTATATGATTTGCCCCAAACATAACACTATGTATTCAGGACAAAAAGTTAATTGCTTTCCCAATTTTTTTGCAGCATTACTTTAGTTCATTGTTGCAAACAGGAACCATGTTTTGGAATATTTGTATTCTGTACATGCTTCCTTCTTTTCACTCTGTCAATTAGGTCAGTGTTGTGGAGTAACTACAATGTTAAACACTATTATTTCACACAGTGAGTCCATGCAACTTATGTGACTTGTTAAGCATATTTTTACTCCTGAACTTATTTAGGCTTGCCATAACAAATGGGTTGAATAAGTATTGACTCAAGACATTTCAGCTTTTCATATTTTATTAATTAGTACACATTTTGAAAAACATCATTCCACTTTGACATTATGGGGTATTGTGTGTAGGCCAGTGACAAAACATTTCAATTGAATCTATTTTAAATTCAGGCTGTAACACAACAAAGTGTGGAAAAAGTCAAGAGGTGTGAATACTTTCTGAAGGCACGGTATTTGATATGATTTTTTATTTAGATACCCATTGGGACGGTATGCACTGGGCCAGTGAGTCTCTTTTTACATAGTTCTATCAGCTGTCACATTCTGTAAAAGCATCTTTTCATTTTACCCCTGAATAGTGTCAGACAAATGATTTTCTCAGCTGCATTAGCATGCAATGTGACACTCATGTCTGATCATAAGCCAAAACCTGCTGTCATTGTGTCTTCAAGCATGGTCAAACAACATGCATTTTCAACATACCTGTGAAGCCAGTTTAACATGGACAGTGAAAAGTGCATGTAGACATTTTAATTGCTCTGCAAGGACTCCTGCAATGTATAATTGTCCGCCCACTGTGCCTCAGCCGATTCAGTGTTAAAAGGAACTTGTTCCTTTTTGCTCCAGGCTGAAAGGTCTCTCAGTGCCAAGGTTCAGTACAGATAATCATGAAGTAGATGTTAAGCCTCCGGCTGACATGTACACATATAAGATGAACTACCCCAGCCTTGGACAGTGTGTCATCATCAACAACAAGAACTTTGACAAGAGCACAGGTAGGCCTAAGTGTGTATGATGTATTTTTGTCCATTTCACTTGTTTAGGTTATGATGGTATGTCCAATTCTGTTATCTACACTTCATTGGTTTATTTCCCTTTAAAGGAATGAGCTTTCGCAATGGAACAGACGTGGATGCAGGACATGCGATGAAAGTGTTCTCGAGTTTGGGGTACAAAGTGAAGGTTGCCACTGACCAGACTGTGCAACAGATACAACAGCTGCTTTACAATGGTAAGCTCAGCAGTTGTGATGTGAGTGTCCGAGTTAGATTGTCTTTCTTTCTGGAGTCATTTGAGAAGTTTCTTTCTGATAATCTACAAATAAGTTGCAGTAATGGTGGTAGTAGTGATGTGACATCTGGCTAAATTTGATCAACTGAAGGAAATCTCTTTTTAATGATAAGTTTGACTTCAAGAGCCACTTTAAACTGTGTGTGTGTATATGACATTTTCAGTGTCTCAAGTTGACCACAGCCAGTCGGCCTCCTTTGTGTGTGTGATGCTGAGCCATGGAGACGAGGGGGTGTTCTATGGCACAGATGGCAACGTAGAACTCAAGAAGCTCACTGGCCTCTTTAGGGGCGACCGCTGCAAAACGCTGGTGGGCAAGCCCAAACTCTTCTTCATCCAGGTACTGTAAGGTTTTAGCTGCCTGCTCAAAATTTCAATACTGAAGTGATGAACATTTATTTGTGTGTCTTATAGTCAGTGGTACATTGCGAAGAGTAGCCTCTCTTCCCCTGACCCTTAACCCCTGATCCTTCCTGTGGGCCTGGTGAGTAGGCGTGCCGTGGCAATGACCTGGATGGTGGCATAGAGACAGATGCCGTTGCTGATGACTCTCCAGAGAGGATTCCTGTTGAGGCAGACTTTCTCTATGCTTATTCTACAGCCCCAGGTAATAAACCCTGTTTTATTAATGCCCCACTTTGACATACTTTTAAGGCCCATGGCAGTCAAAAACGTGATTTTCCTGTGTTTTATATTTATTTCCACACTGAGGTTGTAATAACTGTGAAAATGATAATGCCCTTTTTAGTGTAAGAGATGTTTGAAAAGACCGCCTGAAATTTCTGCCTGTTTTGGTAGATGGAGTTTTGCCTACCTGGTGTCATCACCAGGCAGTAAATTGGTTAATAAGCCAATAAGAAATAGTTCCAAACCTCTCTGCCAATAACTCGTTTTCAGTTTTCCTCTCCCCACTTAGACCACTCCCAGACAGTCCTAGCAAAATTCTAGTTTGAGAATTTGCTCTTTGCTAAGAAGCTATTTTTTTTAATTAACAATTTTAATTGAAAACAATCGCAGTAAGGTACTTGTTATCCAGAAATGATTTGATATTGAGATCAAAACGTCTGCATTCATGCATACTACATATGTTACCTTTACATGGTACATTGGTATGTTACATAGTACTTACAACTGATATCTGTTATAACTTTTACACACAAACTGCAAACCGGTATGACAGTAGACTGTAAGCCTACTACTATAGCAATGTATACTAGTATGGGAATTGCACTGTACCTATTTATAATAATATAATAATATGCCATTTAGCAGATGCTTTTATCCAAAGCGACTTACAGTCATGTGTGCATACATTTAGAGAGGTTGTAGCAATGTACAACATTACTACAGGGTTGGTCTGATTGGTTTGTGACATCCATGCCTCTCCATAGGCTACTACTCCTGGAGGAACACCCAGAAGGGCTCCTGGTTCATGCAGGCCCTCTGTGAGATGTTACAAAGGTACGGCAAACAGCTGGAGATCATGCAGATCATGACACGTGTCAACCACAAGGTGGCACTTGACTTCGAGTCGTTCTCCGAAATGCCCGGCTTCTCTGCCAAAAAGCAGATCCCTTGCATTGTGTCTATGTTGACCAAAGATCTCTACTTTCCGCATTGATTTGATATTTTCGTTTAGACATTACTATGACTTGATTGTGTATCCTATGGGACCATTTGAACTATGTGTACAATGTTTACTGGACTTCTAAGTAGTGCTGAGCGATTAACCAAAATGTCTAAACAACCAATTGACCAATGATTTTAATTCCATTTATGCGCATGTTCTCTAGAGATAAACCAGATCAAGCCCGAACTGTGATGTAGTAGGTAGTTGTAGTTTCCAACAGGCCAATATTCTACATAGTTTAGCGCAGAAAACATGGTAATTAACTACAGGAATCGAACCGACCTCAAAAAGCACTAATCGCTGAGCACTACTTCTAAATGGATACTCGTTCATTTAAATACCGGAATTCTGTTTGGGTTAAGTCTAAAAGGGAAAGCTAAAGGTTTGATTAGATGATTTACCTAAAAGGCATGATGTTGGACCAAAGATAATGCATCTTTAATGAGGGAAGGCAGGCATTAAGCAACGATTATGCAATATGAGTGCTTGCTATTGATTTGTTGTTCCTGTATATGTTCTGAATTATCAGGTATAAAGGGAAACACGTTTTCAGATAACAATAGTGTAATAATCAATCACTCAGGCTTTAAAAGTTGTGAAAAATGTGCCATGTCTTATTAGAAATTATCACTGTCTTACCTGTGGGATGTATTATTATTTTTTGCACATTGTACAATCAAATAGGTTACTACATGAAATATAAGCATTAATAAACTAGCTTTTATCCTTGATAAATTGTGTTATCCTATTATTTTCCAAGAAACCTAACATTTCTGTGAATGGGATTCCAAGATGGCGTAGCAGTGCGGTCGTGTATTCTGTTGTGTCCTCGTGTAAATAGCCTGTTTTTTTTGTATTTTTTCGTATATATTTCTCTATCTCGCTTTTCCATCCTTTAACTAAATATACTTTCCTGCAACCCGCCTCACCCAATGTGGAATGGATTCTATTCAGTATGCACCCGTAGAGCATCTCTACAGAGGGAGAGAGTGAGACGATCAATAGGGTTGTATGAAAAAAGTATGAAAATGTATGCACTCACTAACTGTAAGTCGCTCTGGATAAGAGCGTCTGCTAAAATGACTAAAATGTAAAAAATGTATGCGTTCCAGCAGGTATATCTCACTGGTCATCCCCAAAGCCAACACCTCCTTTGGCCGCCATTCCTTCCAGTTCTCTGCTGCAAATGACTTGTACGAACTGCAAAAATCTCTGAAGCTGGAGACTCTTATCTCCCTCACTAACTTTAAGCATCAGTTGTCAGAGCAGCTTACCGATCACTGCACCTGTACACACCCCATCTGTAATTAGTCCACCCAACTACCTCATCCCCATATTGTTATTTACATGGTTATTTATTTTGCTCATTTGCACCCCAGTATCTCTATTTGCACATCTTCTTCTGCACATCTATCACTCCAGTGTTAATACTAAATTGCACTATGGCCTATTTATTGCCTTACCTCCATAACTTACTACATTTGCACACACTGTATATAGATTTTCTATTGTGTTATTGACTGTACGTTTTGTTTATTCCATATGTAACTCTGTGTTGTTGTTGTTTTTATCGCACTGCTTTGCTTTATCTTGGCCAGGTCGCAGTTGTAAATGAGAACTTGTTCTCAACTTGTTTAAATTCAATAAATATATAAGTCATTAAAATGTGAGTAAAATAAAATGTAGGGTCTGGTGGTGCAAGATAATGCCTCCCACAACAATGTGAAATGACTAATGGGAAAATTCTTACCAGACTAATGTGATGTTGTATGGTGGCAGATAGCCTAGAGGTTAGAGCGTTGGGCCAGTAACTGAAAGGTTGCTGGTTCAAATCCGCTAGCCGACAAGGCTCTGTCAATGTGCCCTTGAGCAAGGCACTGAACCCTAATTGCTCCTGTAAATCGATCTGGAGCGTCTGCTAAATGACTAAAAGGTCAAATGGTTGCCAAATCTTTCACTTCCAAAGGAAATACTGGTGTGTTAAGGTAGAATAGTACAGTGTTCTGTATGAAAATCTATCATACCATGGGTTATTGAAAAGTTCAAAACTTTATCCAATGTCATTATCCAATATATGATGGGCAGCATAATGGCCTGCTCGTCTCTGCAGTCACACGTCTTATCTGAGGCCACACACTGCACTACTAAAGGCCTCCTGTAGAGCATGGCGCTTGCAATGCCAGGGTTGTGGGTTCGATTCCCATGGGGGGGCCAGTATGAAAAATGTATGCACTCACTAACTGTAAGTCGCTCTGGATAAGAGCGTCTGCTAAATGACGAAAATGAAAATAAGACGTGTGACTGCAGAGAGGAGCAGGCCCATGGCTCTTGCATTTCCAGATCATTTCCTGGGGTAGGGGCCAAGGCAACCTCAATGCTTTGGCTTTATGACAAGAAACTACAAGAGGTTTTACTTTCATTCCATTTAAATAACAAAGAGATGGTTCAGTGCATTTAATCATGGCATGGGCAACAATTATATTGTTATCTAATAGATATTGTGAATAGGGAACAGGCAAATAGGATTTAACAGAAGCTCAGAGTGGGTCTTCTGCCCCCCCCCAAAAAGGCACCTGTCCCCCAGAAAAATTATTCTGCCCCCCAGACAAAGGCACCTGTCAGAAAGGAACAGGAGCAGATGACTCTGTATGACATGTATCCCCTCATTCAGTAGCATAAGACAGGGCACTGTCGCTAAGAGCAGTGTTACGTTATGTTGCCTGTGCTGAGCCTAAACATGTCCTCCAATTATTGCTTGCTAAGGAGCATAATACGAGGAGGAGGAAATGTAGGCGTCTGCTCCGGGCTCCGGTCCTCGACCTGTTCAAAGAAAACGTAGAGCATCCCTGTCTTCAGAGGATCTGACTGATGAGGACGTTAGTTAATGGGGAAGTTTACCTAAAATTACCAAGTGATTCCATACATTGAAACTAGTTAGGCAGAGTATGCCTCCTCCCACTCTCTCCTGCAGTCTTGAACTGGAAAGCTGCAGAAATGGGTCACGTGATTCTTAACGTTTCTTTGCGCACTACTAGCTCTGCTTCTTGTCAAAGAGCGATTGATAAATCTGCGAATTGTGGACAAATTCTGTTTTATTTAAAGCATTCCACCTAAAACCATTGCGATGATTTTATATCATTATTTTAAGTGGCTAACTGCAACAACAGCTGAGATGGGTAACAACTGCACATGCACGCTCTCGTGGTGCAAACTCTGTTACATATCGAAATCGCTACGCAGCTAACTTCGAAGCAGTGTGTGGATGCGTCGCAGTGTTGCCAACTCCTCAGAAAGGAAAGTAGCTATTGGCTGTCCTAGAAGTCGCTAAATGACGTCATCACCTAATTTGCATAATTGGCCATGTGCATGTAATTGTGATGGATGATGTAGGAGAGAGGAATAACGTTGTGGGAGAGACAAAAAGTGAGTAAAAAACACCCTAAATATGTTTAGAACTACAAATGAACTTTCTTCTGTCGACTCTTGTTTTTTTTTATGTCACAATTCCAACCCTCCTCCTTTATCAGGGCTTGGGACCGGCAAAAGTGACCCAAAAGAGACACTCTGGCGGAGTTATTGGTTTAACATTTATTTTTGTTTTATTTTTAATTTATTTTATTTTTCTTAAGTTTGGTTTGGTTTTTAACCTTATGGTCCACTTAGGAGCCTACAACAAGTCACAGTAAAACATGAAAATGTTTAACCATCACATAATTTTTTTTTTTTTGTATACAATCTACATTAACAATCTCAATGGACCAAAAAGAGACAATAGAAAAAACTGTCAATGTGAGAAAATGATGGTAACTAGTCTGGCCCTAATTCAGGTAAAAAAAATAATTATAATCAGACCCCCTCCACACACACACAGGCTGTGCTGGCTCACAGAAAGAATGGGTCATCGTCATTTTGGTCAAGGCTCTCTATGGCAGGTTCAGCAACTGAGGGAGCTGACTTAAATGAGTAAGCAGCTGATGTGCCAAAAAGCTGCAAATCATTATCAGGCAGCTGGTGCTCATAGCAAGCCTCACCAGACAGCTTCAGCTTCAGTCCATATCGAATGTACAGGATGGAGTTAAGGATCTGCAAGGACATCCGATTTCTAAGTTTGCTTTTTACCACACTCATCTGGCTGAATACTCTCTCAACTTCAACATTCAAGTGTGGCAAGGACAACACAGACACAGCAGCCACGGCAAGTTCTGGAAACGGGTTGATATCAGCTGCATCCCTGAACTTCCAAATCTCACTCCAGAAGCCCAGTGTGTTTTTTGTCTCATTCCATTTACTAAGATGGATGGCACGCCATTGCTGGACAATCTTGTCTATCTCTGCAGGGGAGTAGCCAAGGAGCTTGGCTATTTTTTCTATTTCTCCAGGGCTCTTATTGTGCTTTAGAGTTTCCTCCGCATTGAAAACTGACATGTACTGCAATGCTTCGATGTTGTCCGGCAGTCTCACCCTCAAGTCATTAGTGAGGGAGATGGTGAAGGCTACACACCGCTTTCGGACATTGTTTTCATCCTCAGGCGCAAGGTGGAGCTCAGCTGCCTTTGACTCAAAAAGGTAACCAAGGTACGGTTTGGGACTGATGTATGCATCTATTGGCCCTTTGAGTACATCAACATTTGCCAGTGGATTCAGCACCCTGCTGCTCATAGACTTGATTAGGCTAACCAAGCTGTCAAGTAGCTTAAGAGGATCTACTTGCTCTCCCTCAAAAGCCTTGATGGCCAACTGTACCTCACCCAGCACTGACTTCAAAAAGGTCAGATACAATATACAGTGGGGGAAAAAAGTATTTAGTCAGCCACCAATTGTGCAAGTTCTCCCACTTAAAAAGACGAGAGAGGCCTGTAATTTTCATCATAGGTACATGTCAACTATGACAGACAAAATGAGGAAAAAAAATCCAGAAAGTCACATTGTAGGATTTTTTATGAACTTATTTGCAAATTATGGTGGAAAATAAGTATTTGGTCAATAACAAAAGTTTCTCAATACTTTGTTATATACCCTTTGTTGGCAATGACACAGGTCAAACATTTTCTGTAAGTCTTCACAAGGTTTTCACACACTGTTGCTGGTATTTTGGCCCATTCCTCCATGCAGATCTCCTCTAGAGCAGTGATGTTTTGGGGCTGTCGCTGGGCAACACAGACTTTCAACTCCCTCCAAAGATTTTCTATGGGGTTGAGATCTGGAGACTGGCTAGGCCACTCCAGGACCTTGAAATGCTTCTTACGAAGCCACTCCTTCGTTGCCCGG